GGGGGGGGGGGAGACGGAGACGGGTGTCAGTTTCCCTGGAAGATGGCAGTGACGGGTCGGGGCATCCCAGAGGGAGAAGCTCCAACGGCTGAGAAGAGGGCTCCCTTTCTGCCGCAGAATCTCGGCAGTGCCTTGAAGGAGCCTCTCTCCCTCACTCGCCACAACCTTCTACAGCGAGAAACATGCCACTGTTCTGGGGAGGAAAAGGCCCTGTTAAACGCTATTACATTTAGCTGCAAATGTGATTCCATATTTTACAAGTAGTTATGTTTTCACGCTGAGATCATTTATTCCGTGTTGGAATAGTTATTCCACTTCATACGCTTTCCAGGTACATCTTCTAAAGTGAAATAGGGCGGAGCATGATCTCAGACTATGACAAAGGAATTACGTATCCTTCGACCTCAATCTTAAATCATTTTCTTTAGAGATACACGTGGATGCTCTGTAAGTTCTGAGATCAACATTCCGGATTTTAGGGGCGGCACTTTTATTTCAGGGGTCCTGCCTCTAGTCCTGAGCACGGGCTTACGGCTCCGTAACATTTAGGAGAACAACACTCTAGCACGCTGAGCCCCGCCGTCGAACCTGCGTTTAGAGGTTCAGATGCTTCCATGATCACAGTCACCAAAAGAAAACATCTTTGTCTTCCTTGACCGCAAAGTGAAGGAAATGCCACAGACAGGGGTTAGGAGACAACAAAGAGGCGAGACAACGTCAGTTACGAAGGACAAAATAACGCACTAAAAGCAAATGAGTATTTAGACAAACCCAGAAGGTTCCCACCACGCGGCTCACAGGAAAGCCACCGCACCCGCTGGAGGGGTGCGGGTGCTGACCGAGCAGGGCAGAAAGGGGAGCAGGCGTCCTGCACGCCATGCTGCCCACACGACAGCCCGCACGGTGGGTCTGTCACCACCCTGGAGGCTGAGGGAGGAGGGGACACCGGAAGGGAAAGGGCGGAACACCATGGACAGCACACAGGCCGCCGCCTGCTTCATAAATGTGCTCTACGGTCCTTCCAGGGACCCTCGTCCCCTCAGTCGCTCACAAACGTTTACTGAATGCCGACCGCACGCCAGGCACCCCTCTGGGAACCAGGGACCTAGCAGCGGAAACACAGGATGGTCCCCGCATCCGCGCAACTTACATTCTAGTGGGAGAGGCAAGCAGTTGCAAAAAGGGTGAGGTATCGGGTAGGGATAGGAGCTACGGGGAAGAGTATACGCAGGAGAGAGAGTAGCGCAGGGCGCGGGGCTGGGGCTGCCGGTGTTGCGGCGTTCAGGGAAGGTCGTGTTTCAGCAGAGACCTGAGTAAAGCCGGGAGCAGGACACGCGAGTGTCTGGAGGAGGAGCCTTCTAGGCAGAGGGCGCAGCAGGTGCAAAGGCCCCGCGGCAGGAGCAGCCTGGATATTTTCAAGGATGCCAGAGACGCCTCCAGACTGAACGGGGCCGGAGGGGTGGCCGGGGAGCAGCGCACTCGGGGCTTCAGGGAACAACTTTGGGTTTTGTTCCAAGTGTGAGAGGAGTCATTACGGAGTGATGTGGTTTAACATTTAAAAACATCATCCAGGTGGCTGCATAGGGAACAGGCCGTGGGAGGGCAGAGCAGAAGCTGGGGCCGGTGGGGAGGCCGGGCGAGGGTCCCGGCGGCTCAGGCGTGCACTGTCTACCACATACCCTACTGTTCTCCTCGGCTCTGACCCACGTGCCGTCACACCCCTGCTCTCCTTTTCCCGGGCAAGCCACACCCTTTCCCTCACCCAGGGCTTTGTTTGCGCGAATTCTCCTGCCCAGGATGCCCTTCCTCTCACTCCCCAGTTCAGTGAGTCCCTCTCCTTCTCAAGGCCCACCCGCCCCTGCAGGGACGTCCCCGGCCTTGGTGAGCAGGAACCCTACAGCGCTGTGGCCGTGCCCCTAAAGCCCCCTTCCATCCTGGACTGGCCTGTCTGTCTTAATGTCTTTCTGTGTCCTGAGGGCCCACCGCTTGCTTGACACAGAACTGATGATCAATAAAAGTGTGTTGAGAGAATGATGAATGACTGAATGAATTATGAAAGGGTGAAATTATCCAAGTATTTATTTGATGTTAACATCACTTAAGTATTTTAACTCAGGGTTGGGGCCTGGCCTGGGTTCGTGAAAACACGGACTCAATGACGCTTCTTGAGATCTCCGCACAGTCACTTGAACCAAAGTAAAAATACGTATTTTGAAATCAGTAAAATAAAACTGGCTTACCTCGTCCAGAACGGCCTTCTTTTTCTGAAATAAGGAGATCAGTTACGAATTAACACGAGGATGAGTTTTCTGTGATACCGTATTCGTCCCTTGGTCCCTCCCCTGCCACAGCCAACAGCGACAGAACAGCAGAGTCAGGTACCCACCCCTCGCCGACAGCCCCCTGCCCGCCACCCATACCCAAGGGGCTCCGTGAGAGGCTGATGGAGCTGATGCAGACCCGCCTGCAACAGCGAAGGAGGCAGCAAGGAGGCGAATCACAGCTCAAGCCCAGGCCGCCACGGGGGCGTCTGCGGTTCCTGGCCGGCTGCGCGGCGAAGAGACTCGCAGGGACCACCGAGACGGGATTGTCTTAGGCTCCACGTGAGGAAGCCCCTCCCCCAGCCAGAACTGTCCTATAACGTGCGGTGTCCTCTCTGGATGTCCACAGGGCGGCTGGACACTGCCCGCTGGTGATGTTACAAAGGGGACCCCCGTGCAGGGTCTGGGTCACTGACTCCCAAGTCTAACCAGTCGTCAAAATCACGGGGTGGCGGGGGAATTTCTCCAGTGCTGTCACGGTACTATGGTTAAGTAACACATCCTCATTCCTGGAAGATACGCACTGAAGTCTCATAACGTCTGAAACTTACTTTCAAACGGTTCTGGAAAAAACAGTACGTGCAGAAAAGAAATGTGGCTAAACGTGCACTGTTGTTGAACCGAGGTGGTGGGCAAGAATTAGTACCTCGCTGAATTTACTGAATTCTTTCTATGTTTTGTAAATTTTCATAATCAAAGTTGGGAAGAAGCCATGATTAAGAAAACCTCCACCGGCGGCTTTCCGGAGCTAAGATCTTACACTATTCGGGCAGGTGGAGAGCTCCAGTTTCTGTTTGTTTGTTCAGCTGGGGGAACAAGGGTCGTGCTGCGTTCTGTCAAACGGGGGGGAGGGGGCTCTTTTAGAGCATTTCGTCATCAGAGAGCACTGTCCTTTAACAACTGCCATCTCCGCGAGCCCCCCCCCAGGAGCTGATGAGAGGAGCCCCACTCCTACCCCAAGAGAGACCACGGGACATCGTGGCTCCCGGTATGTCGTGCGCAGCCTGCGGCCCCTGCTGCCCTACTCAGCCCACCCCCGGGTCTGAGACCCCACGCACAGCCCTGCTGGCCCGTCACCCACGCCGCTGTCCCCTGAGGAGCAGCCCCGAGGCAGGCTCTCCCTGTTCCTGACAAGACGGCCATCCCGGGAGCCCCAACGAAGGGCTGCCGTGGGGCCCGAACTGCCAGGGAGACCCCTAAGCTCAGTCCCGTGCTTGCAGGGGCGCTGCACCCACAGCCTGCGCCCCTGGGACCCGTCGGGAGGTGACAGAGGCTTCCGGACCAGCCACTGCCCGGCCCGCGGCAGGCACCCCCCAGCTCGCCCACACGGGCTCCAGGCGCGGCCTTCCTCTCGCCCTCGCCGCCCGAGACCCCGGGTCTCCGGAGGCTATCTTCTGCCTCCCTACGTTTTCCTACGTGTCTAGGGCGTCTGGCACGGAGTCCGCCCCGGCAAAGGGACGGAGGAAGGGCTGGCGAGTGAGGATGTGGGCAGCAGAGGGCCGGCGGGCGAGGGAACTCTCACCCGGTGCTGGTGCCCCTTCCACCGGCGCTGCAGAAGCCGGGCGGCGGCGTCTCTTCTCCGCTCGGAGCAGCCGGAGCGCGGCCGGGAGGAGCCCCCCTCGCTCGTGTCCAGCTCCGAGTCCGTCTGGGAGGGACCGGGGGGTCGGGGCGCTTCCTGGGTCTGCAGGAAGTCCAAGGTGAGAAGGGTGACTGGGTCGGGGACGGGGGCAGAGAAGCCGGCTATCAGGCCAGGAGGCAGGATATTAGGATGCAGGCAAAGCCTCTCAGACTAGACTTTAATTTAGAGGAAAAAAATCAGTGTCCACACCGCTCGGCGTGCCAGACGACAAAAGTCTCTGGAGAGCTAACATATTCGCTAGTAACTAGGGTGAAAGTCGGTTTTCGTTAACCCTGTAAACTCTGGGGGTAGCGCTCTCCCACGAGGAGGGGAAGCAACGTGACCTGTGGTGTCATCAGGTGACCACAACGCACCTTCTGAGCTCAGTCACGTCTGTGCATCAGTGCACCAATTATCTGCTTCCCGGGAGGTCCTTTCACCGGCTTCCTTTTCATCTAATACTGGATTACAAAAATGGGACTTCTGAGATAAAAGGCAATAGATTCCTAGCTTGGGTTTTTGGTTTTTTGTATGTTTGCTTGTTTGTCTGGCCGGACCCTGCGGCACGTGGAACTTCCCGGACCTGTGGGGTCTGGGATCGAACCTGTGCCCCCTGCAGTGGGAGTGCAGAACCAGATGAATTGCACAGACAAAGCCATTACTGCCAATTCCGGTGGACGTGGAAAATATTTTTTCTCCCTAAGGGAAAGCTTCAGGAATAAGCAGAAATATCCACATTCACATGTGTCGGGTGCCCCCCAGGGGTCAGGGCCACCTGAGGCGGACAAGGCACGGGTCGGTCAGCACCGTGAGCATCCCGCTGGGAAAGGAGCGTCGAGGAGACAAACAGCGCAGCTCTGCCCGCCACACGCCCGCCAGTCAGCAGCCACCTGGGGCCGACAGCGCGGGCGTTTGGGTAGGTAGGGGTCTCCTGAAAAGGGCCCATCGGGCAGGGTGGCCAATTTCCTGGACAGAAGGACAGTGCCTCTGCAGGACTCAGAACACTATCTAAAGCACTGGAAAAGCCGCCAAGGAGATGCACCCATGCGGGTAACACAGAAAGTCTACTTTCCTGAACAACGGAATGGACTGAGATGGACTCACACGTCCACCCCACGTGTGGCCAGCTGGACATGCGGGGTCGAGGGCATCGCACAAGCCACGGGGCTCCAGCCAGCACGCGCCAGGAGAGCCACCTTTCCTTTGCCGAATACAGTCGGTAGCCTGGGGTTTGTCTCAACTTGTAACTGGAGAGAGACATGCTCGTCAGCTTCTCCACATTCCCTTTTAGGGCTTTTCTCTTTCCCTTTTGTGCTGGGGTTGAAGGACATGTAGCGTCAGATGCTAAAAGAAGGGGCCTTAAAACAGGACTCCAGCTAAATAAGAAAACCTTGTAAGAGGGAGGCCCGTCTAGATTTAAAAAAAAAAAAAAAAAAAACCCAAACACTTTTCTTTTCCGCTCTCAGCAGATAAGTCAATCCCGTACCTGGTATGCCCTCCCTCTCCTAGAGGCCAGTCCCCATCAGGCTACTGGCTACCGAAACAGCAAGTCGCTTTCTGAAGCAACAGAACTTCTCGGCTAAAACGTGTGCCGGGTAAAGCCTGGCCGTCCTGGTGGATTTGGCGTGTTACTCAGATCTGTAGCAAGGGTCACAGAAGAGGGTGGCACGGCTGCCCATCTCAGCGTGCACCCACGTTGGACGCCCCGGCCAGGCTGGTCTTCCCTGTCACACACTCACACGACAGGCTCCTCTTGGGGCAAACTGCAGCCACAGGATTTTAATACCTCAGTTGTTAGTTTTTTGTGTTAACAGATATGATTATAATTGCCATCTGGGGAATCCATTAATTGGAAAAAAAAGGATTAGCGAGGAGACACACTCTCGCCACTAGAAGTCCTAGCATAGGTAGCACTGGGCCGACGGGGGCCAGAGGGCTCCCCTGGTTCAAGAAGGTGCTCAGGGAGGTGCCAGGGGAGCCCCTTGCCGTGGTGTCCATAGAAATGGAGGGAGCGAGGGGACAGGGAGGAGGGTCAGCCTAGACTCACCGCCTGCCTACCTGCCCACGGGCCCTGTGGAGGGAGCTGCGGCTCCCCAGTCACCCAACCCCCAGCCTAGGGGCAGGGGCAGGGGCCGTGCCAGCCCCGGCGAGCGCCTTCCCGGCCGGCCCCCGTGTCAGTGCCAGACCCTGCAACTTACATTGAACCGCCGGGTTCTTCACTGAGAGTTCGAGCCTTCCCTGGGGCCTTCCCAAACTCCTTCTCGCCTTCTAACGGCAACCCTTGCTGGATATTTAAACTTTTATTTGAAGTTTGGGGAAGATCTTCACCCACCAGCTTAACTATCTAAGACGCGAATACTAGTTTGAAAAGTCAATTAACTGACAATCAATTAGTCCAGAACTCCAGGATTCAATACACCCAATTTATAGAAATCGATTGTGATGGTAGAAGGACACTGGACTGTCAACGTTGGATTCAGGCAGAACTCCGGGCACGCAGACAGTCAGAACCATAACGCGTCAGCTCAGAGTCCCGCCACGCCGGACAGGAGGTAAAAACACAGACAACCCTACCTCCGGACTCGTTTCCTCGGGGTCCTCCTCCACTCCTTTCTTACTTTCTTCCAGTTCTCGAAACTTCCTGGTAAGTGCTTGAATTTCTTCCCTAAAGTGGGAAGGGAAGAAAGTGACAACTTACTTGCCATGATGCTGTGTAAATGTCTGTATGTGACAGGAGGGGTGGTGGCCTGCAGAGCTGGCAAGGACGCGCCCCAGGAACGAGGTGGGTGCCCCGTCACCACCTGACTGCCCAGGGCGACCCCTCCGGACCCCACTCCTGACACATGGGAGGAATGGAAACAATACCGACTGCGTGAAGGATGCATGGATATCCTTTGGGTTTTTTTTTTTTTTTTTCCCTCGGTACGCGGGCCTCCCACCGCTGCGGCCTCTCCCGTTGCGGAGCACAGGCTCCGGATGTGCAGGCTCAGCGGCCATGGCTCACGGGCCCAGCCGCTCCGCGGCATGTGGGATCCTCCCAGACCGGGGCACGAACCCGCGTCCCCCGCATCGGCAGGCGGACTCTCAACCACTGCGCCACCGGGGAAGCCCTCCTTTGGGGTTTTTAACAAGCAAGGCGAATGGAAGGAAAAACAACTCATGTGCTTTTGCTACAGATTTTAGAGGCAAAAAGGTAAAAATAATTCTTCACTGTATACCCGCCCATTCTGATTTACTTTAATTCTAGGCTTCTGGCAAAGTCTAGTCACATTTATTCTGAAGATAAAATTTGGTATTCATTTCAGTAATCCGTGTCTTACTAATTATTCTGAGTGCTAAATATTTCTGCGCAGATTTCTAACCTACTTTTTTGGGCATTTCTTACTGAGATAACATTCATATAACCCCAAATTCACTACTTTAAAATATGCGATTAAGTGGGTTTTAGTGTAGTCACAATGTTGTGCAACTATCCTCACTATCTAATCCCGGAATAGTTCTGTCACCCCAAACAGGAGCCCCTTACCTGCCACTCCCTACTCCCCCCTCCCCCCCCTGCCGCAACCCCTAATCCACTGTCTTCTCTATTAATCTGCCCATTCCAGATATTTCCGAATTGCACAGTATGCGGGCTTTTCTGTCCGCCTCTTCAGGGGGCAGCATGTTTCTGAGGCTCATCCACGTCGTGGCAGGTGTCAGACCTCATCCCTTTGTACGGATGTACGTCCGTTTTTACTCTCTTCACCAGCTGACGGACATTTGCCACGTGTCCACTTTTTATCTACGGTGGACAGAGGTCAATGACGGAGCGTGGGAGGTGGCGTCTGGACCCGGGGTGTGGAATCAGGGCGCGTTCTGAGGCTGCCCGCAGCGGCCGTGCTGGAGGAGGGTGCGGGCCGGGGAGCTGGCCGTGATGCCAGAGCGGCAAACACTGGCCCAAACGTGAGCAGCCTTTTCCCAGAGGTCGGATATTTACTCTGAAGGAAACAGCCAACCACGGGAGGACCTCAGGAGAGGAGCGATGTGATCGGGCTGGAGCTTTACGGGCCGCTCTTGATGCGGGCTGAGCGCGGATGCACTGGGGTGGGCGGGGCTGCGGAAGAACGAAGGGCCTGGGGCTGCGTGTCTTCCGACTTCGTCCACTCACCTCAAAGCCTTCTCTCTTTCTCTTCCCTCCTTCATGTTTTCCAGCTCCTTCTCCAAGTCAGCCTTTGTCTGCAGTAGCTGCTTTACCTCCAGACTGAACGAGGAACCAGAGATATTTCAGCGTCATTAAAACAAAGGCTCACAGTGACCTGGGTCACCAGAGCACGAAGAGCTTTCAGAAAACGTAACGGGTCCAACCTCCTTACTTATGCATGGATGAGGATGAAGAAAGGCCCTTCTTTGTAACTGCAGGGATCTGGGAGCAGAGCCGGGGGTGCTCGGTTATTTACTGAGCACCTTCCGTGCGCGCCGGCAACGGACGGAGCAGGGCTACCAGACGAGGCGCAGGCCCTGCTCTCACGGGCGTCACCGTCCCGCGGGGAGAGGCATTAACCCAGCGCTCACACAGTTGGGCGCCTAATCTGCTCCTGAGATGAGAGCTCCCAGGACCCGCCGTGGACCAGACGGTGATGCAGCCTGAGCTGAGGCCTCGAAGACAAGAGGGTACCCAGGCACCTCCACCCAAGCTTGCCTGTGCCCCACAGGTGACGCCTCGCTAAGAACGTGGCTTTAAAACGTTCCACTGCTCACCGTGGTGGTGACCTCACGTGAATGAGATGCGTCACCAGGAGTGTCACACGGTAAGGGCTCACTGAGTGGAAGTTATCGTGCCATGCGACGGCTTAAGAGATAATCAGAGATGCTATTTACCGTGCAAAATGACTGGCCTGATTTTTATAAAGAACCTAGCGCATGGATGCACTATTAGGCTTCGACTGGAGGTGAAAAAACTGGTGGAGTGGGAAGGGATTTGCCTTCTGCTGTGAACAGAGGCAGCAGAGACAGGTCCTTCTCAGACCTAGACGTGCACATGAATCACCGGTCGGGGGGGGGGGGGGGGCTCTCA